ATTATAAATATTTAAAAATTACAAATTTGCATACCAGATTCGTACATCCAGTGCGTACGAATTTTATATTAATATATCTTTCACAGATTATATTGATAAAGATCTCCCAGATGAGATACAATACCATCTTCGCCGAGAAATGGAGAAAGACACGACGAACCAGGTTACATATATGTATATAAAGGTATATATTATAATTTAATGATTTGTTATTTGCTTATAAAAAAAAATTTTCTAATCCATATTGTATATAGTCAAAGAAATAAAGAATGCCTATAAAATAGGTAGAGCCAAAGACGTTAATCAACGAATAAAGCAGTGGGGAAGAAATGTAAGTATAAAATAGAGGTGGTAGAAACTTTTCCCACTGCTTATAAATGCAGTTGTGTTCATCGAGTTGAACGATTAATACATATCGAGCTGTCGAAAATGGCCTCTTTACAGAAATGCCCAAACTGTAAAGAGGACCATAAGGAGTGGTTCGAAACTAAAGTTGGTTGGGCGAAAATTAGAGAAGTCATAGTTAAGTGGATCAACTACTGTGACAAAATATATGGGCCTGCTTAGAAAAATAATATTTTCTTAATAAGCCTAAATTTTATTTTTGAAAAAGTGTAATTGTTCTTATCACTAATTTACATAATTATGTTTAAATATTTGTTTTATTTAAATACGCGATCTAAATATTTTTTTCTAATTTACAAATTGATAAATTATTGATTAAATTATAATGATCTTGTTATTTTCAAAAAAGCGCGTTTCTCATTTTTTTCATAATTTTTAGCTTCTAATATTATTGGTTTGAATTCAAAAATATTTATATTCTTACTTTTATATGTTTATAAATTATAATTTTCAAAATTTTTTACAGATCAAACGTCAAAGTTCTTAATATAATACGCGTATAATATATATATATTGATTAAAAGTATGATCATAAATCTCAAATAAACACGTACTATATTGTTTACAAAAAAAAAAATTCTTTAAATAAAAAAAACTTTTCTCATAGTCTATGCTAAATCGTATCTTTAAAAAGAATAATACTAGTATTATGCAGTGCGGTTTATAGATTCTCACGTGTAACATCTACGCGAACATGCAAACCTATTGGCCGATAGCGCTCCATAAAGTACCCCGAGGAAACTCGTGTTAACCACCCCCGGGTAGTGCAAATCGAAAATCGAAAATCGCAACTAATCGAAAGTTGACAACTAATCGATTGAAAAATTTTTGGCAACTCATATTAAAATCGAAAAAAAATCAAAAGTTGACAACTAATCGATTGCAAAATTTTTGCCGATTTGTAGCACTACCCCAGGTACTGTGTATGGTTGGGGTACTATTTATGGTTCCGAATACACATTAGTTTTTCTGGGAAAGATCAGTGTTGGCAAAATGACAAATATGACTTTTTATGACAAATAAATGACATTAAATTTTACAAAAACATAATAAAATCAGTTTTTTATAACATTTTTACCAATAATTTTGTCAAATTGCCAACACTGCCCAATATTATGTTACGTATTTATGCCCAATATAGTACCCGGGTACTAATATATGGGGGTACTTTATGGCGCGCTATACGGTAAGTAGATCTGCAAACCGTCAAATTTCGCGGTAGTAGTTTTCTCACACTACATAAAGCAGGCCAACTTTGATATGAAGTATTTAAGTTATCACAAAATGCAGAAATGGCAAGGATTCCGCATGGATTGTATGTGGATGGGAGAGCTCAGGTGCAAATTTTGCTTCCTGCAAAAGGTGAGTGCTGGTTGACTGAAGCGTATCTGTTTCTTATGGCTTGGTGCTATTATTGGCAATTAGATAGAAGTTCTAAATTAAGCAGTTAATTGGAATTATATATGATTCTATCTCATATGGCATTAGATTGTCTGTACGCTCAATTAGGATCAATGGCTGAATACCATGGTTCGTGTTAAAAAAAAACCAGATCCTAACCAAGATCCCAACTTGAAATTCACATTTAGATATGATTTTCAACTATTACTCTATCAAGATCGTAACCATTTTTAACTAATTAGTGATATATCATTATATTGCTTATTAGTACTGTTCTTGATTCAAGGTCGGACGGACACACATATGACCGACGATAATATTTGCGTTAGGACAGATATTCCAATATTTCGTTCTAGGTTTTTCCCTTAGATGTTTAGTATTTTACACATGTAATATTGAGCTCAACTTTTTGATTTACACTAATTAATGCCATAATTTTGATTAGCGTAATACAGGAATACGTATGTACGTACAATATCAATGAATTTGAACTAACCCTTTATTACCAAATGATGTAACCATCAACTTCGACACGTCATTCTTTAGTTCGATCTCTGTAACCTTAAAACGAGAAAACTAATGTAGTGTTGTGCAATCTATAATTTTATATAGAATGTACTTGAATTGGATCTTTATTTGTTAGAAACTGACTATCCTCCAAAGTGCATAAAAATACACTTTTAATAAAGATCAGATTCGACCGTGCTAAATAATATAATTCAAAATGAAGATTATAAACGACCCTATTCACGTAAAAATTTTGTTTTTTGTTATGTATTAACAAAAAAATGTTATTTTATTTCTGTATTTTTTCAATTGCCTTTATGTTTTAATAGGGTTATATGGAATTCGAAGATTGGGCAGTTCAAATTATTGATACACCGCAATTTCAAAGATTGAGAGAAATCAAACAATTAGGAACTGCCTGTTTTATTTTTCCTGGTGCAAATCACAATCGTTTCGAACACAGCTTAGGTAAAAGGTTTTTTTTCCCTCATATTTGCTACAGAACTGCATGAATGATGTAATAACACAAGTTATTATAGGGACGGCTCATCTTGCTTATACATTTACAAAAAGACTACAGCAACAGAGCAATGAAATATCAGAAGCTGATCTTAAATGTGTAACTTTAGCGGCTTTATGCCATGACTTGGGTAAGCTAAAAATTCATTTGACATACAACTGAATAACAGCTGAAGACATTATATGCAATTGTAATTGTAATAGGACATGGACCGTTTAGTCACGTGTTTGAGAAAGTTTCATCAGGACTAGGGTAATGGAAAAATACTGTAAAGTCGTCCTCCTATACAGTCACCTAATATAATCACACCCTCTTTATAAGCACCATTTTTTGAAAAATTATTGACAATATATTATTAAAAAACTCTATATAATCACACTACCAGGCCTGCCGAAAAATTAATTTAAATTAATTTTTGCTATACGTCATACAATTAAAATCAATTAAAATCATCATAAAATTAATTGAAACCCGATTAATGACGAAATAATTGCAATTAATTGCAATTTTTTTCACTGGTGTAACCTGATCTTTTAAACAGCGAAAAATCAAAAATCAAAATCATATCGTAGTAGTGGTGAATATACGATATTATCTAATTACGTAAAATTGCAATTAATTGACTAATTAATTGAGCATGAAAAATTGCAATTAATTGCCCTACAATCAATTATTCGGTAGGGCTGCACACTACTATTAAAATTTATAGTCACATCTTTTTTACGTAAAACAAACAGCGTGATTATAAAGGGGGACGACTGTACCTATATCGAATATATTTTATATACCAAAAACCACAAAATTCTTTATATGTAATAGGATTCAGGATGATGAAGGGAAGGTGTGGAAGCATGAAAAAGGATCCGTAATGATGTTTGATCAACTTATTAAAGAACTGGGAGAATTGGATTTGGAATCGGGATTCCGTCTAGAAACAGAAGATAAAAAGTTCATCAAGGCCCTTATTACTGGAAAATCAAATGAAATGTGTGTTACTTTCTATGATAATAAGCTATAGTTTTTATTATCATATATATATATTTACGTAAAATTGCATAAAATCAGTAATAGGCCCAAGTGTTTATTTAATATAGTCAACAATAAAGATAATTCTGTGGATGTTGACAAATTTGATTACCTCGGGCGAGACTGTTACTATTTGGGCATGAAATCTTTATTCGAGTTTTCACGATTGATGCGGTTCTCTCGCATTATGGATGGACAGATCGTTTACAACCATAAGGAATGCTTTAACATTTATGAAATGTTCCACACGCGTTATTCATTGCACAAGAAAGTTTACAACCATCGCGTTAGTATGTAATCCATTAATAAAGTTGCTTCTACTACTTATAATTGACAGAAGATTAACTAATTTGAATATAGGCAGAGCAATAGATCATATGGTAATTGATGCGCTTATGAAAGCTGATTCATACTACGATATTAAAAATGCAATCAAGGAACCCACAGAATATATCAAGTTGAATGATTCTATTTTGAGTACGATCGAACATTCAAAATGCGAGGTATTCGATAGCTATATACATCTATTGTATAACATGATATCCAATTAATGAATATTTCAATAATTGACTCTCTAGGAATTAGAAGAATCAAGAAACATTGTCAAACGAATTAGGCGGAGGGATTTGTACAGATTTGTGGCGGAGTGTTTAGTGCCGAAAGAACTTAAAGATCGTATTAGTAAGGTAATTGTATCATAAAAAATATTTGTTTTATGATATTTTATAATCTTTTTAATGTACTGTGGTTTCTTTTTTTTTTATTTTTATTCTTTCCAGGAAGCTTTAGAAAAATTTTTCTCCAGAAAGGGTGATAATCTAAGTAATAACGTAATTGTCGAGGAGCTAAGGTTAAATTATGGAAAAGGTGATCAAAATCCTGTTGATGACGTCAAATTCTATAATAAGGAGAAACACAATGAAGGTTGTTGATTGTATTTAACTTTATGTACATTTTTATCCAAATTACTTGTATATAAACTTTGTTCCTGTTTATAGCATCCCCGATTCCACGTACAGAAATAAGTTATCTTGTCCCCGAACAATATGAAGAAGTAACAATGCGCGTCTTTTCACGCGAGTCCAATAAGGTAATAATTCCCACATATTATTTGTCGCCACGAATGACTATTAATCAATCATCTTTTATCGTAAATAAGGAAAAAATCAGGGTAATTCAAAGTTATTTTGAGGAATTTTGCGAAATTTTCAAAATTAAACCCAACTGGGGATAGAAAATTGTAAACAAACGATGAATAGTAGGTCTTTCCGAAAAAAGCTCACGTATCATATTAGAAGATAGTAAAAAACGGTTTAACCATTTTTTTATCTGTTTAAAACAGGTTATGATTATACTGATACTGTAATTATAAATATGAATTTACTTTATTTAATCAGAATCATTTGCTAAATAATGTTAATTTAGTCTATAAAGCATCTATTAATATGGTAATTCATGTTTAATGAACACTTATTTTTATACTTAATCCGTATGCATTATTTATTGCAATTTGCAAAATTCTGTATCCCCCTAAAAAATTATCAAAGAAAACAATCAATTTCCAATTTCTTGATTTCCAAACTTCTTATTATACATATATATTTAAACTTAGACTTTGATTACGTAAGATTTGATAAAAGACGTAATAGTAAACTTACCGTATAGTGTGGTCTAAAAGATCCTTTATTACCCCTCACAATTTTTAGAGGCCTAGAATGTATATAAATCGACAATTATAGAAAGTTCAGTGACGGGTTTTTTCTCGTCGACACTTATATAATGCAACTTGTATCCCCTATGCTAACTACAGCCAGACCTCTCTAAATGCATAGCCGTGAGACAGCCAAAAAATCTTACAATTAAAGAGGTATTGCATTTAGGGAGATAAAAATCTATGTGTCATATGATTTGGGGCCAAAACAAGGCCATGCATTTAGAGTGACTATGCATTTAGGGATATGCATTTAGGGAGGTCTATAGTTGCCGTCCAAATAGTTATAACTATTGGTCGTTCCGCAGTTTTAATTAGTCACAAATAATGGTTAATTTCCTAACTAGTAGGTTTGGGCGGCAACTATAGGAGGTCTGACTGTATAATATTACTCCGAGTATTTAAACCACGCTATACGAATTTAAAATTATTATTGCGTCTTTTATCAATCTTATTTAATATCAAAGTCTAATCTAAAGTCTTACAGAAATTGGAAATTGATTGTTTTTTTTTGGAGGATACAGAATTTTGCAAGCCACAATAATTTATGTAGTTATAATATTCATACTTATCAATACTCACAAATACTCACAAATACTCATAAATACTCACATAAGGTAACTGCACAAGCAATCCATTTTCTTGACAATGAATCTCTGGTAGGGCTGTGAATCGATTCTATAATAATCGTTTTATATTAAACATTTAAATGTCTAAATTTTCAATAAATATAATAAATATTCTCTTGTTTTTAGATGCA